CGTGAGGTCAAACCGTCGGAGGTGGCTTTTACTTTGCCTCTACTCGAACTTCGGTTCACGGCGCCCATATCCACGGACCTTCTACCGGACTCTCTCGACATTTTAATATATATATTTTGATATAAAAAAATAATATATTAAATTTCGAAACTTTAAAAAAAATTCGAAATTTTATATATAATAATTTCGAAAATTTCAAAAAAAAAAATAGAGAATGTATTTAAAATATATATTATATATTTTTTGATATTAAAGAAATATTAAATTTCGAAAATTTCAAATAATTTCGAAATTTTTTATATTAAAATATAATATATTTAAAAAAAATGTATAAAAGAGATAATAAGATATTAAGATTGAGAAATTAAAATGATAGATTGAGATATTGAAATTTGAGAGAATGAGAGAATAGAGAATAGAGATTAGAGAGTAAGAGAGATGGATATGGATTGATGAGTGTGATTTTTTTAGAAGAATAAAATGTGGCGGTACCGGTGCCGGTTCTCGGAACCGTTAATCCGTCCCGGTATTCGTCACGGTGCTCGGTACCGGCGGTACCGTTTCCGGTGACGGTACCGGCGGTACCGTTTCCGGTGACGGTACCGAACCGGTACCGTGTCCAGCCCTACCAGTAATTTATTAAATGATTAATTGTGTATATTCTTTTTTTCCTGTGCTTTTCATTCTGTATACCAGTAATTGATTAAATGATTAATGAAATATTTGCACTAAATAGCACTAAAACTAAAGTCATTTCCCTAAATAGCACTTAAACTGTTTTTTTAAATAGCACTTAATAATGTCCAGTGATGACGAATATTTACTTGAATAATGACTAATGCATAATGACTAAAAGTGCTACATTCGGAAGAAAAACACATGTGGTGCTATTTAGGGAAAATCATTATGTTTTAGTGCTATTTAAATAAATTCCTCATGATTAATTGTGTATATCCTTTATTTCCTGTACTTTTCATTCTCTTAATTTGTTCTTTGTTTTATTTATGTCATGTGATTTCTCTATGGATGACAATCCATTAAAAGACTAAACTCACCTCAGACTAATTTCACTCCACTCTATTCTAAATTAATCCTAATCTTGTGCTTCACACTGACTCATATGCATTTTTAATTATTTTAAGTTTTTGATAAAATTATATTTGGAGTTAAAATATAATTGAAAATATTTAAATTTTCTAATAACTACTCTGTATATGGTATGTGTTATATGTTTTTTAATTATTAGATATGATATCATTTTTGAAATAGAAGTTATAGTTCTAATAATGATGCACATTTAATTATTCACATTTATACAAATCTTTGTTTTTGAAAAGTAATCAAAGGGAAAATGTGAGTAGTTTTAAAAATATATATATAAAGCTTTGTTTTTTAATAAAAGAAAAAAAGTTATATAACCTTATTTTTAAAATAATAAAATAAAATAGTGAAAATACTTAAAAAATTAAAAAGTTATATATAAATTTAATACTCATTGAGTATAATACTAATGAAATTTAATTTAGTTAGTTAAAAATTAATATAATACTTCCTCCGTTTCTTAAAACGGTTCTTGTTTTGACTTTGGGGCAAAATAAAGAAATTGTAATTTTAGTCGACTTTCCAATTTTACCCCTGATGTGATGGGTAAAAGTAAGATGTGGTAGTTTAGTTATTAGTGAAAAAGTATGATGTGATAGGTAGGGTATGAAAAAGTAGGGGTAAAAGTGGTTTTTTAATAGAGAAAGAAAGTGTTTAAAAAAAACAAAAAAAATAAAAGATGAAGGGTTTTAAGAAACGGAGGGATCGGGGTAGATGCCAAAGAGAGAGAGGGTGTGTGTGTCAGTGTGTGTATGAAAAGCAATAAAATGAGATAAGCACTGGACAGATTTAAAAATTTGTATATAATATTATTTTTAAAATTAATAAACTTTTTAAATAATAAATAAATAAGCATCATGAGGTCCATTTAGCTAATAGTATCTTTAGTCTTTTAGCGACTGTGACTATCAGTACCGTTTTGCATAGTGCTTGAGCAGGAATTCCTTGAAAATCGTCTTCTAACAAGTAAGAATGTAAGATATGCTTGGACACACTCTTTCCCAAAATTATTGTACAAATATTTACCAAACGTGAATTGTGTTGTCTATTTATACTACGGAGTACTAAACATAATACAAGTCCAGTAGCAATAAGCCCAATGACAAATATGGACCCGTTAACACTCTCACATTGGCGCATTAATATTACCAATATCGAATTTGGTCTTTTTTTTTTGCACATAAAACACACACTTTATTACCAAAACAACCGTCTAGACAGGTTACATCAGATTTAACTTCCAACTACAAACACTCATTACATACTACAACACATTTATATATTCTAAGTAGTTTCTTATATAAGCTATAGCTTGTTGAGTAGGCATCCCAGTATCTCCTCTTTGCTGGTGCATTTTGGCATTCCTCCACCTCCAGATTTGATAAACACAAGTAGCCCATACAGCAATCCACTTTTTCCTTTGTTTCCCTCCTGGTATCATACGCACTGCCCTCCCAAAACCTTCAATAGATCCCTCATAGATTTGCATATTGAAGTCCTTCATCACTAAAGCAGCCAAAGATTTAGAT